TCCTAATGGCTATGTATTAAACTGGGTAAACTAAACTAAGCTACTATGTACAAAGAAAGAAAACATGGTCGAAAACCATAATCAAAGAGAGGATGCTGCAATATCACTGTTCAGCATGAATTTTATGTTTGAGAACCAAAGTCTATCTTGAGGAATTTGAGATGTGATCAAATTAGCTTTTAATATGAAGCAACTGCAATATTTTCTAAACAATTCACAATGCAAATCCAAGCAGTGAATAAAATATTATTTGGGCAAATAATGTTTTATCAAATGATTTGCTTAATCAGTAACCACCAATATTTAGTTAATTGATTCTTTATCTTCTTGGAGTTAGCTAGCAGACAAAAGGATTCCCATTAAAATCACTTTTGGTCATGATTTTGTAATTGAAATATTATGAGCATATGAGAAAACACATAAGCGTCAACATTATAAAATTGTTTAAAACCTTAGCGAAATAAAGCTTGTTTTAGCTTCAAACAACAGCTCAGACATGTTAGCAGTACCATTGTACCATTTGGTCCACCTTGTCGCTTTTACTCAATGGTAAACACATGAAATTATCCAAAATCATCAAAGAAACAAATTATTTAGCTATAAACTTCCCTGAAATTTACAGCAATTTCGTTCATTTAGCCTTGGTTAGTCTTGAGATCTGGACCCTGGGCATGCACTGGAAAAAATCCAGATCTAGATAAGTCATTTTTTCTTGAAATAAATGCATTTGTTCTTGGATTGAGGGGTTAAAAGTGACATTTTGCCATTGGAACAAGACAATTTACCCATAAAATAGGAACACACAACTACATTGTCTTATTTCAAGTGCATTTGATCTAATTATCTTATTTTAAGAGTAAAAATACTGATTCCATTGGCAAACTACCTCATTTACTTACTCAAATTTAGGGTAAATAAACTTACTCTAAGAAAATTCTACTTATTTCTAGATCGTTTTTCCAGTGTGGGCCATAGGGGTGTCTCAGATGTGAACCTGCAAGTTTCAAAGACAGAAAGGAAGAGATAGGCCTGAGACAGTTGCTTTGTCCTCAAGCCACCCTGGGAGGAAAGCAGCTGTGATTTGTCCTTTTTATGCATTTCCGGCTGTCTGCGTGGTCGTCCTTCTCAATTCGGTGCCTGGGCGAGCCATTTTTAAAAACCGAGAAACATCTACAATCGACAACTACAATGAAAGTTTAATCTGTCACGGTTAATCACGGTCCATCTCCGTGACCGTGATATCTTGTAGATGCACCATTGTTGTTTTGGAAGGTAGACACTCCCGCTGGCGCCGCCAAAATTCTCGTGACCATCCACCGAAATTCTCACAAGTTCTTGAATAGTCTCCCCCTTGCTCTTTGGTGGGAAACTGCTGTGCGTCCCTAGAAATTCCAGACCGAAGGTGCAGACGCACACCAGCAAAACTGGTTTGCAACCAGACGCAAGCAACATTTGATGTGTGCTGTTGCAGAAGTCTAATCTGCCCTTTGAAAGAGTTTGGACAGGCAACCCTTGTCAGGGTAAGATTGAAAGGCTATGAAAATAGGTGCAGCTAAAGGTTTTAGGTTTTCAGAGGATGTAACTGAAACAAAGTGGCAACATGGGGAATTTTTGTAGCAAAGCAAATGTTACTGAATGTGTCAGTAAATTATATATAGTTATGTGGAAAATGTTTCACACAGTATACTTTATTTTCTATATTCTGGTGATTTTTTGAAAATTGAAGAAAAGCAGAATGCGCCCCACTAAAATACTTGCATCTTAAATAAACTGTAAACTAAGAATTTCACAACTTTGTTTAATAATTATTCTATGCAGTAAGCTAACTAATAAGTTGTCACTGGATTACTGACTCTGATACAGGAACTAGTTCAATTGAACCCTGTGTAAACTACACTGTGTATGAATAGTTGGTATTTAGCTAAGGATTAAAAAGCTTCAATCATTATGTTATTAATTTTTATACAACTGACAAAACAGCTAAATCCTTCAGACTTTCTAGGAGACTGTAGATTCTCTAAAAACTCTTCAAGACACAAGACAGCACTTCTGTGGATGTTTTTTTTATTTTGGTAAATATGTTGGAAATTAAGTTTTTAAACATATTCAATGGACCAAAATAATGATAAATGAATAAGATAGGTAATAATAAACTGAGAACATGCTTGTGGTTTCGCCTCTATCCTGGATAAATGAGTTGTTCTGCATATCTTCTCTCTGTATATGGTTGGTCTTTTCTTCGTTGGCTGATCTTTTGAAAAAGAAAATGCAATGGTGCTTTTTCTATTTTGTGGACCTAATATGGGTTTGTGAGACAAACCTCAATGCTTCAAGAATTTTGATAGTTGTGTTGATTTAATTAGTCCTAAATTCCAACGGGACATTATTCAACTAGACTGAGCAATAAGTATTTAACCTGTGAGCCAAAAAAAGGACTAAAACGGGGACTAAATTAGGTGGAAAAACTAGAGCAAAAAAGGAGTAAAGCTCACAAAAAAGCACATAAGCATTAGGTATAGAGAAAACAAACCATTTGATGTCATTTTGATGTGATTCTCCACTCAGATGCCACATTGATAATTTAAGCTATCAGCTGTATATTTTATGCATATTTACTTAAGTGCTAGATTGCTTAAAATTTACAAAGGGAATTATCTTGGTCCTTATTATCTTATTAGGTTAAAGATAAGATAAAGATAAGGTAGAAATTAAAATGACAAACCTCATAATAACTGCTCAGAAATCCCGGTCATTTGTCAATATCTGGCGAGGTGAATAGGTGGGCTGGTGCAAAATGGCAGACTGGATACTTCCGTCAGTGAGCCCCAGGGCAGCTGTGGCTACAATGTAGCTTGCCAATATCAGTGTGTGAGTGTGTGCGTAATGGGTGAATGAATGTAGTGTAAAG